CCGTCTTGGGCTCTCTTGGACCGTCTTGACGGTCTTGGAGGCATTTTGGGACCGTCTTGGAGGCCATCTTGGGGCTATCTTGGGCTCTCTTGGGGCCATCTTGCCCGTCTTGGGGGCATCTTGAAGGCCATCTTGGGCCATGTTGGCCGTCTTGGAGTCGATCGGGCCCATGGAGTTCGGTTCTTCGGGAAGTTCTGGGTGGCCGGCGGCTTGAGCCGAGTCCCCACTGGGAGGAATCCAGGAATCCAGCACGCCGTGCACCCTTGTGGCAAGCCACAGGGGGCCACAGATAGAAGACGCCTACGGCGAATCACCGCCGTCCCCTGCCTTTTGGAAACGCCCACGTGGCCGAGCGTTGGGGCAAGAGCTCTGCCAAGCTGTCGGACCATGTGTTCCCCCAGCCGTTGTGGAAGCCCTTCGGGGAACACTCGGGGGAGGATGGTGGGGAAGATCAGGAGGAGGAGGAGGAGGAGGAGGAGGAGGAGGAGGAGGAGGAGGAGGAGGAGGAGGAGGAGGAGTAGAGGAGGAGGAGGAGGAGGGCCACCCTGGGGCACCCTGGGTCCGTCTGAGGGCGGTCTTGGAGAGTCTTGGGAGAGACTCAATGCTTCCCTGGAGGCCACCTTTGGTCCGTCTTGTGACAGCTTGGGCGCGGCGGGTCGGGGAGGATGTCGTGTCGTGCCGAACATAATGGAACTGGCATGGAGCGAGGTCTGGGCAGTTGTCCGAGGTGTTCTTCCGGAGTCTTGTGCGTATCATGGCTTCGTGTGGTGCCTCCTGATTTTCCCTTCAGGTCAGCTGGAAGACGGCTCGCGGCCTTAGCACGTGTTTTTGATAGCAACGGGGGGCTCATTCGACCCGTCTGGGGCAGAACAGACACTTCGAACACCTCTTCAGGCCCTCTTTGGGCGCTTTACGGCTGTCTTGGAGGCCTTTGTCGGAGGGTGGCGGGGGAGATCAGGAGGAAGAGGAGGAGGAGGAGGAGGAGGAGGAGGAGGAGGAGGAGGAGGAGGAGGAGGAGGAGGAGGAGGAGGAGGAGGAGGAGGAGGAGGAAGAGGATGAGGGCATCTTGGGAGCCTCTGGGGGCACTATTGGGGCGGAGCTTCCTGGGAGCCTCTTGGGGGCCTCCTTGGGCCTCTTAGGGGCCTTCGGGGTCTTCTTTGGCAGTCTTAGGGCATTCCTGGTCCGTCTGACGCCGTCGGAAGCCGTCTTGGGGGCCTCCATGGGCCGACTTGGGGCGCTCTTGGGGTGCTCTAGGGTCTTCTTGGAGGCCATCTGGGGCGTCTTGGAGACCTCCTGAGCCTTCTTGGGGCCCTCTGGGGGCAATCTTGGGGGCCTCTTGAGCCGTTATGGGGCCATGTTGGAGGCCTCTTGGGCAATCTTGGGGCAATCTTGGGGGCCTCTTGAGCCGTCTTGGGTCGTCGGAAGGCTGTTTTGAAGCACATGCCCAAATCCTTCGAAGCCTCACGTCAAATCAATGATTTTGGCCTCTTCAGGCCCTCTGGAGGACCTCTTAGAAGCCTCTTGGGCCGTCTTGGAGGCATCTTGGGCGCTCCTTGGGCCGTCTTCGGTCATCTAGAGGCCAGCTTGGGCCGTTCTGGAGGATTCTTGCGCAAACTTGGAGACATCTTGGACCCTCTTGGGCCGTCTTGGGGGCCATCTCGGACCATCTTGGGCGAACTTCAGAGCCATCTTGGCCGTCTTGGAGGCCATCTTGGGCGTCTTGGAGGCCTCTTAGGCAGTAGCAGCCTTTCCGACCACCTCGCCTGGAGCTTTCTGGGTGGTCGGCGCGCTGGGGCGAAGCCCCAGGGGGAGCCCTTCTTTGGGCAACAAGCAAGCCGTACAGGGTCCAGCACGCCAGGCACCTCCGTGATAGATCAACGTGGGGGCGGCGGATCGAAGACGCCTACGGCGAATCATCGCCGCCCCCTGCCTTTTTGGAAACACCTTTTTGCGGGCCCGGCCTGGAGTTCCCTCCCAGGACCCCGGCGGGACGGGCCGAAGCGCCAGGGGGAGTTCTTTTGGAAAAGAACCAAAACGAACACTGGAAAAAGTCCAGCACGCCAGGCACCCCTGCGATGAATCGACAGGGGGCGGCGGATCGAAGACGCCTACGGCGAATCACCGCCGCGTGGCCGAACGTTGATGCCAGACCTGCCAAGCTATCGGACCATGTGTTCCCCGAATCGGTTTGGAAAGCCTTCGGGGAACACGTGGGCATCTTGAGGGTCATCTTGGCCGTGTGGAGGCCATTTTGACCCTTTCGGGCCTTCTTGGAGGACGTCTTGGAGGGCTCTTGAGCGTGGAGGCCTCTTGGGTCGTCTTGGGGGCCTCTTAGGCCGTCTTGGGGGCCTCTTGGGCGATCTTTGGGGGCACTTGGGCCGTCTCGGGCCGTCGGAAGGCAAAACAAAAACAAATGCCACAATCTTTCAAAAACTAATGGAACATTTTTTTTTTGGCCTTTTCGGCCCTTCCTGGAGGCCCTCTTGGGAGCCTCTTGGGCCGTCTTGGACCATCTTAGGGCCATCTTCGCCCGTTTTGGTGGGCTCCTGGCCCGTCGGACGCCGTCGGAAGCCGTTTGGGGGGCATCCCTGGGCCGACTTGGGGCCCTCTTGGGGTGCTCCAGGGTCTTCTTGGAGGCCATCTTGGGCGTCTTGAAAGCCTCCTGGGCCGTCTTGGGGGCCTATTGGGGCCGTCTTGGGGGCCTCTTGGGCCGTTCTGGGGCCATCTTGGAGGCCTCTCGGGCGATCTTTGGGCGATTTTTGGGCGCTCTTGGACCGTCTCGGCCCGTCGGAAGGCCGAAAAGAAGCAAATGTAAAAATCCTTCAAAAACTTAAGGACAATCCATGTTTTTGGCTTTTTTATGGCCTTCCTGGAGGCCCTCTTGGAGGCCTCGTGTGCCGTCTTGGGCCAGCTTCGAGCCAACTTCGGCCATCTTGGTGGGCTCCTGGCCCGTCTGACGACGTCGGAAGCCGTTTGGGGGGCCTCTCTGGGCCGACTTGTGGCCCTCTTGGGGTGCTCCAGGGCCGTCTTTGAGGCCATCTTGGGCGTCTTGGAGGCCTCTTGGGTCGTCTTTGTGCCCTCTTGGGGTCGTCTTGCGGGCCTCTTGGGCAGTCCTGAGGCCATCTTGGAGGCCTCTTGGGCGTTGTGGGGGCGATCTTGGGGGCCTCTTGGGCCGTCTTGGATCGTCGGAAAGCCGAAAAGGAGCAAATGCCCAAGTCCTTCAAAAACTCAAGGGAAATCAAAGATTTTGGCCTCTTCAGGCCCTTCCTGGAGGATCTCTTGGAGGCCTCTTGGGCCGTCTTGGATACTTCTTGAGCGAACTTGGAGGTATCTTGGACTCTTTTATGCCGTCTTGGAGGCCGTCTTGGACCATCTTGGGCGGACTTGGAGGCCATCTTGGACCATCTTGGAGGCCATCTTGGGCCAACGTGGCCATCTTGGAGGTCATCTTGAGCCGTCTTGGAGGATTTGTTGTGGACGCTGAGGTGGTTTACTCGGCCTCCCGGGACTCCGGCGGGACGGGCCGAAGCGCCAGGGGGAGTTCTTTCGGAAATAGAACCAAGACCCAAACCGTAAGAAGTCCAGCACGCCAGGCACCCCTGTGATGAATCGACAGGGGGCGGCGGATCGAAGACGCCTACGGCGAATCACCGCCGCCCCCTGCCTTTGTGGAAGCGCCTATGTGGCCGAACGTTGATGCCAGACCTGCCAAGCTATCGGACCATGTGTTCCCCGAATCGGTTTGGAAAGCCTTCGGGGAACACGTGGGCATCTTGAGGGTCATCTTGGCCGTGTGGAGGCCATTTTGACCCTTTCGGGCCTTCTTGGAGGACGTCTTGGAGGGCTCTCGGGCTGTCTTGGAGGCCATCTTGAGCGTGGAGGCCTCTTGGGCCGTCTTGGGCACCCCTTTGATAAATCAAAAGGGGGCGGCGGATCTAGTGGCATCTGGCCCACACCGCCACCGTGCCCAGGTCGTGGACCAGAGGCCTCTTGGATGCACGCGTGGGCCTCTTGGGCTTCCTGCTCGCGGTGCCTCTGCGGGGCCCTTCGAGGGCCTGGGGCCTCTAAAGGGCCTCTGAAGGGCCTCTGCTGGGCCTTTCGGGCCCCTCTTCAGAGGAGGAGAAGGTACCCATACCTCTACCCTTCCCTTGTTTTCCCCTTTTTGGGCCTCCTGGGAGGACCTCGTCGCCACCGCTGGATTCGCTTCGAAATTCTGGTCAGAACGCACCCATGGAGAGGTCCGGGGAGTAGCGGTATCGGTACCTTTTGGTTTCCCCACCTCTTGGGGCCCTTGTGGGGCCGTCTTCTGGGCCTCTTGAGCTGTTTTGGGGTCCTCTTGTGCCTTCTTGGGGCGATCTTTGGGGCCTCTTGGGCCGTCTCGGGAGCGTCGGGAGACCGAAACGGTGAGAACGTAACAACGCGTCAGTTTTTTATGGGAAATCGCGACTCCTTGCCTCGCCTCCCAGGACTCTCTGGAGGGTCCGCTTGGGCTCCTTGTGAAACATCGTGGAGGTCTCTGGGCTTTCCTGAGGCCATCTTGGGTGGCCTGGAGCGCTCTTGGGCCGTCTCGTGGGGCTCTCTTGGGACCCTCTTGGCCCATCTTGGGCCTTCCAGTCTCAGGAAAAGTGTGGCGATAAGCCCCAAGACGCATGCGACACCCTACAAGAAATCTGGGATTCGAGGGTCTGGGCCTCTTACTGAGCATTTTCAGAATTCGAGTATTGAGAATTCGGTCTCTGGAAGGCCTCTACTCAGTGCCTCGCTGCACGGTGGCGGCTAGGCGATAGGGTGCCCTAGTTGAACGGGGTCCGAGGTCGCCCGGGGCACGCTTACCAGGCTTACCACAGCGCAGGGCGGTGGTACATACATTCTCAGGTTGCACCTTGGCCAGAAGAGCGTCTTGCTACATGCAGCCAGGGGCTCTTGGTTGATGTGGACTGCGGTGGGTGCTGTTAGTGATGTGGGCACAGGGCCTGCAAGAAGTGCACCTGGGGGAACAGGCTGACAACATGGTTGGGCGGCTCCATTCTGGCGTCGCTGGCGACCTTCAAAAAAATGTGGGTGTCGAAGGAGGAGTTCGAGGAGGACCGCTGTTGAGCCGCCTGCTCTGCCGTGTGCACGGTGGTGCCGGGAGCGGGCAGCACCCGGGCCTGCAGGCACACGCATCTCCGAGGGAGGGAACGGCTCGATACAGTGCCGTTTTTAATACATGCTCCGCGTGCGGATCATGTATTACAAATGCAGGGATTTAGTATCACAAACAACGACTATTCATAAATTAGTCATGTATTTTCACCATATATCTTTAAAACCAATGTATTAAAAACCTGTAGAAGCGAGACGGGGGAGCACATGAAAGCAGAAACGCGTGGACCGACCACAACGCTGTTCTCAGCTCGGTTTGGGCCTCTGCTTTTGCTGTCCGTTTCGCTTTTCGTTTTCGCATCGTTTCGTTTCTTGCCGTTTTGAACGCCTCCTTTCGTTGTTCGTTTCGTTTGGCACCCGTGTCGCTTTATGCGTTCGTTCTGAACGTTGGGCTTCGTATCGATTACAGGCGGCCCAGATTCGTAGGTCGACCCTGCCAGATCAAGGGTACCCTCGTGTCCTCTGTCTCGCGGCCCATGCTTCGCACATTCCTGTGGTAATGTGGCCCTCGCAAGCGTCTTGTGTCCTCTCGCGTGTCCTGTCCAATCGAGTCCGACTGTATACGTTTGAGCGCCGTATCGTTTTCAAGGTCGTCGTGGTCGGTCCTTGCCGAAACGCCGGGAGGTGGGCGGGCTATCGCTTCCCCCTCCCTTGCCTCTCCCGCATCCCTTGGGAGCGCTCGATCCCCATCTTTCGACGGGTCCTCTGCTTCTGGACCGATTTGGGAGGATTCGTCCCACCCCCCTCCTCCTCCTCCTCCTCCCCCTCCCCCTCCTCCTCCTCCTCCTCCTCCTCTTCTTCCTCCTCTTCTTCCTCCTCCTCCTCGTCCCCCCCACCCCGTTTCTCCCTCCTTGCTCCTCGCTCCTCGCTTCTTCCCCTTCTCGCTCCCCCTCTTGCGTCTCGTTGGTGCTCCTGCTCCTGCCTCCCGCCTCCTGCGGCTGCCGCCCTCCTCCCCAGTCCCTACGCTTCACTCGCAGCCCTTGCACCCGTTCCACCCTTCTGCCTTCGCGCAACTGGCAAGCGACTCCTCTCCTCCGCCTGCCTTCCTGCTTTCTGCGTCCCCTCTCCCTTGTCCCTCGCTCCCCAATCCGCACCCGCTCCTCCGCGCTCCTGGCTCTCCCTCATCGTCGCCTCGTGCTTCCCCTTCGCTCTCCTGCCTCTTGCCCCCACCCCCCCCTCCCCTCCCCTCCCCTCCTCCCTTTTCTCTGCTCCTTTCCCCGCGTCTCTGCCACGCCCAAACAGATTCGCCTCACGTCTCGACATCTCACTGCCACCCCGATCTTCCTCCTCCCGAGCTGGGCGTGTGTGTGTGTGGGTGCTTCCGACGTCCGAGCGCCGTGCAGCTCTGCACGGCCAGGGACCCCCTAGCTGCCCCCAGTCACTTCCCGCCCCTTGCGGCGAGCCGCGGGTCCCCCCCCCCGAGAAGATCCATTCACATGGCTTTCGATGTGACCCAGCGTTCTCAAGCGACTGTTGGCACTCAAGTGATCCAGTACTCCAATCCAGGCAGGCGTCTGACGCAGTCCGTGCGCTTGCTCCCATGCCCGCACCCGTGCGCAGGCATGCATCATGGTAAGTGTATCGGCTTGGATGTTGAGTGTTGCTTTTTTTCCTGCTACAGTTGTGCTTGACAGGAGGGCTTCCCGTTGTTACACAAGAAGGCCTTCTGATGGGCCGGCGCATGTCTCAGAACGAATGTGCCATAGTGTAGATTATGAGGCACTCGCGCGACGACTCGCCCTTCCCATCTGCGTCCTTCATTTCTAAAGTCTGCAGTGCCGTTGATGCTCCTTCCACGATCAAAGGCTTGAGACGATCTCGATCCAAGAGATAATGCTACCCGCCCACACGTAGCTAGGTAGGGTATCCGAGTGGTCTCCCTGGCTACTTCGGACAGAATCAGAAGACACATATTTGTCAATTCGACCGAAAGGCAAACAAATTAACATGGGTAAGCCCTGCAACGTGCCAACGCTTTATAGTAGCAGCTTCAGGATCTCTTTCCGATGGTACTACCCTAATACGCACTTGGGCTGTCACGAGCTCGACGTTTCTACCAAGCTCTCCCGAAAGGACACTGTATAACTATGGGTCTGTGGTGATCCCGAGGCGGTCATTGATTCTGCGTAACCCTCGTGGGTTTTCGCACCGCTCTTCGATTATCAGGGGCGTACATTTTCTTCTGAGTCTTTCGAAGAGACGCGGTATATTCATCATGGGCCATCTGAGTTGGTCTATGGGCCTGTCTTGGAGCTAGCTTGGTAGTTTTCGGGCCATGATGGGGCTCCCTTGGGTCCGTGCTTGGCCGTCTCGGGGTGTTCTTGAATCGTCTTGAGGTCACAGGCTTGGCAGATCCTTGGTTCTGCTGTTCCCACGGGTTTCCAGTACGCTCTTGAGCCGTCTTGGGCGCGATGCTTTACCGAGTTTTTCCGGGCGCGATGCTTCTACCGAGTTTTCCCGAAGTGGCTCGGTACACAAAATCTTCGTGGGCCGTCTAGACGGGTTTCGGGACCGTCTTCGAACCATCTTGTTGAGGCAGTCTTGGAGGCCCATCACGAGGTCATCTGACGCCGTCCGGCAGCCCTCTGACGGCTTCCTACAGCGATCTCAGGCTGAAGCGTTCTGGGAGGCGAACACACACTGACCAACACGGGCCTTTCAACGCCCCTGGTATCCCAGGTTCGGTGGAATCATGATTTCTACGTGGCCCCTGCGGGCCCCCAGGACGCTCTTGGACCGCTTTGTGCGGGATGGTTCTACCGAGCTCTCCCGAAGAGATTCGGTGCAGCCATCTTCGGACCATCTTGGCGAGTCTTCACGCCGTCTTGAGCCGTGTCAGGGCGGTCTTGGGCCATCACGGGTGTCCTCGGGCCTTCTCATGGTTCTCTTGTGGCCGTCTTGACCCGGGCTGGCACGGGCTATTCTGGACCCTTGAAGCTTTCTTGAAACCAAATCAGGCCGACTGGCCTGGGAAGCAACATACATTGAGACACTCATTAGCATTCTGTTTTTTTTTGGCTTCTCCAGGAACTGCATGCTGCCCCTCTTCCTGGGGTATCTCCGAGAGCCCCTCGATGAAACCTCGGGGCCTTTGGGGTATCGTGGGGCCGTCTTGGCTCGGGGGCAGCGTAGAAAGCATTATCCTGGGCGGTCCTTTGTCGCCGCGCAGGAGCGCTGTAGAGAGAGCGCACGGTGCAGGGGCGCTTCGCAGGAGGGGTCGCAGGGACAAGGATCAGGAGGGAACAAAAACACGCAGACACAATTCATCGACGATTCCCCAGAAAACATGGCAAAATATGGGAAGTGGGGGGGAAGACAAAAACCCAGAAAATATAGGAAGATATGGAGAATTCGGTTATTTGTGTGTATTTATTTAATCGCTTCGCTCATTCCGCCGGCCCATATTGTCGCACCGTTGTGGGCTAGCCGAGTTTTGGGGGCCGTTTTGGGGCCTCTTGGGGCCTCTTTTGGGCCTCTTGGGCGCCTCTTGGGGCGTCTTGGGGGCCTCTTGGGGGCCTCTTGGGGCCTTTTTGGGGCCTCCTGGGCGCCTTCTGGGGCGGAGGGCTCGATTTTTCAGTTCTCGGTTCCCCTCTTGAGCCCCTCTTGGGCCCGTCTTGGGGCCTCTTGGTCCGTCTTGGGCGGCACTTGGGCCGTCTTGGGGGCCCTCCTGGGCCGTTCCGGGGCCGTCTTGGGAGCCTCGTGGGCCGTCTTGGAGCGGTCTTGGGGGCCTCTTGGGCCGTCTTGGAGCGTCCGGAAGCCGAAAAAGCCAGAACACAAAAAACATCGAAAAAACCAATGAAAATCAACGATTTGGGCCTCTTGGGGCTCTCTTCGGAGGCCTCTTGGAAGGCTCTTGGGGCGTCTTGGAGGCCTCTTGGGCTGTCTTGGGGGCCTTTTGGGCCGTCTTGGGGTCATCTTCGGCGTCTTCGAGCGCTCTTTGGGCGTCTCGGGGGCCTCTTGGGCAGTCTTGGGGGCCTCTTGGGGCACTCTTGGCGCGCTCAGGGCGGCCTGAGAGGCCGCACCCAGAAGGAAAACCATCTCTGAGTTGAACCGGGCGGGACCTTCCCAGGCGGCGGGCGGGGTACTTTTCGCCGGGGGACCCCCAGGGGCCGCCCCGCGCGCGCGAACTAGTACAATACAATTGTTAACCAGTTACCGGAGATCTTAGCACGCCTCTGGCCCGTTGGGCCGGCGAATTTGTGTGTCCCAGGGCCCCTTCAAAGGAGGCGGCCGAGTCGCCAGCATCAGGCAGTGTTCAAAATCCACGGTGCCTGACTGGCGCACGCCAAGAAAAGTAGGCACCAGCCCGCTTCCGTACCAGTCAGTATATACCAGTTCAGTTCGCCACCATGGCCGCCGACCAGGATTGCGTTCTCCAGAATGCTCAGATTCTTTTTCAGCTTGATTGTCGCTCTTCGGGAGCGACGTGCGGCGAGTCGGTGGGGATATCGGAGGAGGAGGAGGAGGAGGAGGAGGAGGAGGGGGAGGAGGAGGGGGGGGAGGAGGAGGAGGGGGAGGAGGAGGAGGAGGAGGAGGAGGAGGAGGAGGAGGAGGAGGAGGAGGAGGAGGAGAGATTGTCGCTCTTCGGAGAGAGAGGCGGGATCAGGGAGGGGCGGAGGGACGGAGGAGGGCAAACACGCGGGCACCACGAGCGCGAGCCCCGAGGCTGGAAATGTTTTTTGCGCGTCCTTCGCATGCCCAGCCACCGCGATGCTTCGAGGCATGCTTGCCGCGGAGAAGGAAGAGGAGTAGGGCATAGTGTTCTTCGGAGGGCACCAACTATACACCAACACCGATATGGGCCAGGACACCAACACCGATCCCGGCCCAGGGTGATCCTGGGCCAGGATCGGTGTTGGTGTACAGTTGGTGCCTTCCTAATTGAGGCGTGGACGGAGCAGGGCAGAGGAGGGGCGGACACGAGACTCGTGCATGCGCAGAGGGGGGTGGTGGGGAGGAGGGCAGGCTTCGTAGGGGCACCCTGGCTCCGAAGAGGGCGCGGGCCTCGTCTGTGGACGCAGGGCCGGCGCCTTCCAAGGAGCACCTCACTTCTTAGAAGCCTTCCCCCCTCCCCCGGCCCCCCCTGTGCGCGCCGCCACTGCTTCGGGGCGTCGACTAGCTTCAGGAGCGAACGCAATACACAGACGCGCTTCAGCGTCGACTTCCGGGAACACAGCGGGCAACATGGGAAGCGGAGGGGAAGACGCGAGAGCAGAACGTGTGGGAGAATGTTGTGAATCCTGGGATTTGTGCCCGTCTACTTGAGCGCCCACGTGTCCCTGCGCGCCGCCAAAAGACAGAGCCGCGGTCAGAACATGAAGTCCGCCTGGTGCGCGCACGCTCCGAAGCACAGACCGCGACGGGAACACCATCTCTCAGGAGGGGAAAAAACACACAGACACAATTAATCGGCGATTCCCAGAAAATATGGGAAAATATGGGAAGTGGGGGGGGGAGACAGAAACCCAGAAAAGATGGGAAAATATGGGGAATATTTCCCAACCCTCCTGCTTTGGGTTCTCGTTTTGAATAGAGCACTGCTCGCGCGTCTCCTTCCTTCCCGCCGCCCCCCCGTCCCTCTCTTCCCCCCTGCCTTCGCTCGTCGCTGCGTGCCAGCTGGGGGGCTGCGATCTGTGAAACTGTTGCCACTTTCGAGGCCTGCTGGGGGGCCCAGCACAGTGGGTACTCACGGCAGACTCAAATGGGACCTCGCCATCCCTGGGGGGCTGCGATCTGTGAAACTGTCGCCACTTTCGAGGCCTGCTGGGGGGCCCAGCACAGTGGGTGGCGGATTCAAATTAGACCTCGCCATCCCTGGGGGGCTGCGATCTGTGAAACTGTCGCCACTTTCGAGGCCTGCTGGGGGGCCCAGCACAGTGGGTACCACGGCAGACTCAAATTAGACCTCGCCATCCCTGGGGGGCTGCGATCTGTGAAACTGTCGCCACTTTCGAGGCCTGCTGGGGGGCCCAGCACAGTGGGTACCACGGCGGACTCAAATAGACCTCGCCATCCCTGGGGGGCTGCGATCTGTGAAACTGTCGCCACTTTCGAGGCCTGCTGGGGGGCCCAGCACAGTGGGTACCCACCGCGGACTCAAATTAGACCTCGCCATCCCTGGGGGGCTGCGATCTGTGAAACTGTCGCCACTTTCGAGGGCTGCTGTGGGTACTCACCGCAGACTCAGCCACGTGAAACTGGTCGCCACTTTACTCACCGCAGACTCAAATGGGACCTCGCCATCCCTGGGGGGCTGCGATCTGTGAAACTGTCGCCACTTTCGAGGCTGCTGGGGGGCCCAGCACAGGGGGTACTCACCGCAGACTCAAATAGACCTCGCCATCCCTGGGGGGCTGCGATCTGTGAAACTGCCGCCACTTTCGAGGGCTGCTGATGGGGCCCAGCACAGTGGGTACTCACCGCAGACTCAAATGAGACCTCGCCATCCCTGGGGGGCTGCGATCTGTGAAACTGTCGCCACTTTCGAGGCCTGCTGGGGGGCCCAGCACAGTGGGTACTCACCGCAGACTCAAATGGGACCTCGCCATCCCTGGGGGGCTGCGATCTGTGAAACTGTCGCCACTTTCGAGGCCTGCTGGGGGGCCCAGCACAGTGACGCCCACGCAGATTCAAATGGACCTCGCCATCCCTGGGGGGCTGCGATCTGTGA